TCAAAGTCTTTCTTTATAAATAAAACAACGAGCTTTATTTAGAGGAAAGGGGTTCATTTGCAAGTTTGTATCCAAAAGTTCAAAACAATTGTATGAAAGATGGGACCCTAACTACGTATTCATTTTCCTTTCATCGTGTAAAATACTTTTCCTTTCCAACGGACATGGGACCCTAACGAGCTTTATTACTTTTTTTTTGTTTTTTTTTAATAAAAAGAACTTCACTAAGAAAGGGTAATCATACACTCCCGATGTCATGTATTCGAATTCCCTCTTTTCAGTATCGCTTGTATAAAATAAAAAAAATTCATTTATTTCTGAATTTTATATAATAATAAAAGGCTTTATTAGCAAGCACCTGAAGGTTCCTTTCTACATCAACAATTCATACATATTCAAATGTAAAATCATTATCCATCAAGATGACAACTAGTAAGATCAGAATTCGAACGTCTTCCTTCCCCTTTGGCTTCCAAAAAAAAAAGAAAAGAAAAAAAAAAGAACTCTTCATGGTCCTATTGCATTGCACAATTTAGTATTTTATACCCTTACCTAACCGATCTTAGAATAATAATAATAATAATAATTTTTACTAGAAGCCAAAGTCAATAGTACGACAAGAACAGAGATTTTAGCCTCTCTTTTTAAAAAAAAATATAAATAATAATGGCCTTTTAATTACTATAAATATACTATCTACAAAGATGCATATGGCAGCACATGGAAAGGGAAATAAACAATTAATCCCACGGCTCTGATTTCATCAAACTGATTTATAAGATTTGTTTTTGCAATTAAAATTGTGGGCCAAACTAGGTTTAATTATGGATTTAATTTTGGTCTGTGGTTGGAAGAAAATTTGATATTGGTGGAAGCCCGCTAGAAGCCGCGTACAGAGGAGGCCAGCAGTGTAGGAGGAGGAGTAGAATTAATCAAAGGAAAGGGACACTGAGGTTGTGAATGTTTGTGTTATTGGCAAACCTTCCTTCCTTCCTTCACACGTAGATATCATCGTCACTGGAATTTATCATTAGACCAATACCATTTCATGTTTTGACTTGGGTACGTTTGACTTGTTAGAAAATAATATCACGCCCTACTCTAATTTTTTTGTGATTTTTTGTTCTTTTATTTTATGCAGATAATTATGTTTGATGGTTAATGTGGTCGAGTCGAGTGGAAAAGAGCCTTAACTTACATACCAGTAGTCTCATGTTCGAATCCTCACAGTGTATTTGTGAGAAAACCCCCTTACATGTCATTTTCTTTATTTTATTTTATTTTATTTTTTTCCCATTTGGACTCTGAACTCCAATTTTATCCTTCAACTTTAATGACCCTTTATATAGGGAACTCACCCCTAAGGTTTAGTGACGATTTTCCTATCTTACCATTACTCTGCAAAATTACTTCTACATCCCATACTTAAACTTAGGCATTGATTGTTCTTGGACCGGTACCACACCGGTATCATTACTCTTAACAATTTACACCTTTGCACTTTAAACCTCACTGGTTGAAGGACACTTAAGGCCGAAGATATCTCACTTGAGTGGAATTCATTTTTGTACATCAACAAGATGACATTTAAAGTTGGAATTTATGAGCTCCAAATTCCAAATTGTTTTTTCCATATAAAATGTCAAAATTTCTTTGTTAATGCATCCAAACAAGGTAATAGAGATGACAATGATGATCATGGGAAGGTGGCGGAGATGGTGGTTGGAGTGGTGGCGATCTTGATGGTCATGATAAGGTCGAGGCAAAGAGGTGGTACATGATTTATTTATTTATTTTAACTCTAAAAAACTATTTAGTTGGAAAGTATGAGCTCCAAATTCTAAGTTTCTTTCCACATATAATTTTAAATATTTTTTGTTAATTAATCCAAACAAAGAAATTAGTGTTTGTCAAATTTAAAAGTTTTAACTTTTGCCCAAATTCTAAAATTAATTTCTCCATCCAAACGCATGGAAATTTTCCAGCTAAATATGAGGTCCTCCTTCGATTGAAACTTCCTCAAGGAAGTGGATTCTGTTGTTATTGCCCCACGCATTCATATTATTGGCAAAGATGGTGGTCCAAAAGCAGTGGTTCATTTAAAACAAAAAAAATCCTAATCTCTCTTTGTTGTTTCTTGAGCAAAGAAAAGACCCCAAATGCCAAAAGCGAATTCCTCGTTTTTTTTTACAAGTCTTCTTTTGGGTTTAGATTCTTAAACAGCAACAGCAACAGCAATTTTAGTGTTTGGCCTTTGGCCATGAGTGGACCAGCTAGCCCTCAATAATTTCTACCAGTTGTGCACAGAGGCACATGGGAAGATAAACCCTAAAATTTATATGTATTGCAGTATTTGGCAGACTGAATAATAACTCTCTTTACTACTCAGTACTATAATGAGGATGTTGAAGCATGCTTTACGTAATTGACGACCAGATAAAAAACAAAGGAGGATGGTAAATGGTCACTAATCATTGCTATAATATTACCATTTTTCTTCTTTTCACTATGTCTTTATAGTGAGTAGGGCAATTTTCTGACAATTAAGCCATAATTGAAAAGCTAAGCAATTGAATTGAAGGCAGTTTTAACCTAATTTATATTAGAGAAAGCAAGAAAAGTTTGGAGGCCCCTCTTCTTCTTCATGGCAATTAAAGGGAATAAAAATATGATCACGGGTTTGAGTCCTAGCATCCGTTGTGTGTGTGAGTTTAATATGATATCTCTCATTTCCTTTAAAAAAAGATAAAAATGGAAGAGGAAACAGTAAATAATTGAAGCCCATTTTGGGTGCATGGCTTAGTTTTTTCTCACTTATGGCAGCAAACAACGCGGGAAATGGCTGCTAAAGATGTCAAACAAAACAGATATCCAAGGAAATACAAACAAGACGAGACTATGAGCCCAAACTAATATTGAGACTCTTTCTTTTGGGCCCGGCGAGCACTCACTCTTATATCATAAATAGTAATTTTATTTTTGTCAAATTTTAGTTTTTGCATGAACTACTTCTTACTTTGAATTCTGTAGTTTTAATTTTAGGGTCAATTCGAAGTTAGTTTGAGGTAAAAAAATTTGTTGAAGCCGGAGTTCTTTTGATGTTGTCATCAATCAATTGATTGGTAGACCTAGTTGAATATGATATGTATTTGCAATTTCATTCTCTTTTTTTCAACTTGGTTCACCAATTGCCCATCCTTATGAAAATTTGGCTATTTTTTTATTATCTTTAAAGATATTCAAAACATATAGTAAACGCTAATCAGCCATAAATATAATTAAACTTGCTCAACAGAAACAATGCTTGAATTATTTTAACCAAAAAATTTGTTAAGTGTATGCATTTTGAGTTTTTCTTTTGACTTTCCTTGACAATATTGTAATAGGACATACATTGTAATTATCCAAGCTCAAGTTTAGATTATGAATAGTTTCTCTAAGTGTTCTTATCTAGCTGCTATATTATGGAAGATCAATCATATTGGTAAAAGTAATTTGTGCAGTGCATCATATTGCATTCATTAGATTTCTTAAGATTATGACTAGTCATCTTGTTTTCGTATGACTAGTCATTCTTTGCATCAGTAGGATTTCCAGCTCATTAGTTTCCAGCTAGATCCTAACAAATCTTTTTGTCATATTCTGCAAACACTCAACATTCTTTAAATCCAAAGTAGGATTTAATTCTCTCCAATATCTCAATATATATATATATATATTGGGTGTTACCTACACTATCCAATTGTTCTTTTTTCTTTTGCTAAAAGTCACTAATCAAATATCAAACTCAAAAGTCATATAATGAAGTTGTAGTATATATAATAAACGCTCACGCAGAATTGACAACTACTGCCACAATCATACTAAACATTAGTCTTTTATATTTATTTTTGTATTTGTTAATTTTTTTTCTTCAAAAGACATGTTACTTTTATAAAAATAGTATTTCTACATGCATGCATCATACATGTAACATGTCTTAGTTACCCAACATTGGAAATGTGTGACCAAACACCTTCTTGAGAAATAACAGTATTAGTAGAGTTATTAGTATATGCCACCTGGCGCCCACAGTTTTGACCAATTTTTTTTAAATATAAGCGATAGTCTAAACTAAAGGGTACGTATGCGGATGTCTCAACAAAAATACTGTCATAGGAATGTGAATTTGAGACCTTTTATTTGCAAGTTAAGGCTCTTTTTCACTGGACTAGATCCCGTTGATAATTTTTTATTTATTTTTAAATAAACCATAGCAACGTAAGGAAGTAATATAACTAAACTGAAAAATTCACAAACATGTGATGTATGTGTGGATGATTCTTTTCTAAGTATGCAGATAGGTGGATGAAGGTTTTTTTTTCCGCTTAAAATTGTCACTCTCTTTGAAATTTAGAAACGACAACTATTCAAATATAATTTAAAGTTGAAATTTATGATCTCCAAATTTCAATTTTATTAAATTTATTTATGAATTCAAAAAAAAAGTGTATTTCAATTTTTTTTTTTTTCCAAATTTGTTTTCCAATCAAAATTTTGAACCAGAATAATAAAGAATGAGTAACAACCTACTCAAATAAAATGGCTCAGAGAGGCTATGACATGTTACAAAAATTCTCTTGAGGAGTTTCTTCATCCTGCCCCTCGATCTGGAGAAAAATTTATGATCAATCTAGCATTGTAGTTGGTCATGCAATAAATGACAAAAAAAACAGTCTAGTTTAGCTTACGCTTAGCCTAACGATGATGTGGGCTTCCGCCACATGTCACTTGCATGCATGTTCTCCCACGCGTCGACCCCAACTGCGAACGCTCAACAACACTCCGTTTACCAGGCAATAGCAAACAAAACAAGCTCTTTCCCGATCTCTCTCTCTCTCTCTCTCTGTAACATAGGGTGCTGCAATTGTTTGTTTTGTTGTATATGTACGGCGTCGTTTGGTGGAATGCAGAGGTACTACTGGTTACTAGTGTGGTGAAAGCTGAGAAAGAGGACAGAAATGGCGGGGAATGAGGGTGTTTATGAGTTTGCAAAGAACTTGGCTCACGAGCATGCGCAGGTGATACCAGTCTCGGTCTTTGTGGCGGTTCTCTGTCTTTGTTTGGTCGCCGGCCATTTGCTTGAAGAAAATCGATGGGTCAACGAATCCATTACTGCCATTTGCATCGTAATAATTACTAATTACTGAATTAATTAACCCCCTCATCAATTCCCATCTCTATGCTTTTTTTTCTTTAATTTTTTTTTTTTAATGTTTGTGGGTTTTTTTTAGTACAAGCGATAGTTTAAACTACAGGGGATAAGATTTCTCATACACAGTTCGAACTTTAGACTCTAGCCTGCAAGTCAAGACCCTTTTTCACTAGACTAGACCATGTTGGCTGTGGATTTTATATTTTTTTAGTGGTTATATCAAATGCTCTTAACCTCCATTGTCACTGTCTTTCCCCATTTCATGTGGCCAAGAAATAACAGATTAATTAGTAGCCATTGATGTTCATTAAGTTTACACCACATGGTACATTGTGTGTGTGTGTGTGTATATAATAAAGTGAGATAGCTCAAACACTTGGGAATTTAATTTGCAAAAAATGTGCGGTTCTATAATATTTGTCAAATTTGTGTACTAATTAACTATGAGCTCCATATAAATCAAGTTTAATAAGTACCCTTTTTCTTCACCTACTCTCCTAGAAGATTGAGTTTTTATGCGGTTATTGTGAAAGCATGTATATATGGTAACATGGTCAACTCTCTGCTTCACCCTCTGTCCCCAGGAGCTCATGGTCAACTCCCCAAATGCCCTAAACTTTCTGCTGTGTTTGGTTTTTGTTAGATTTTTATATCATTATAGAAAACACAGACCATATCGAAAATGAAAAATTATGTGAGCTTCTTTTTCTGCCTTTTTAATGCTGAAAATTATGTTGGGCACTGTTGAATTTGCAAACTTTTGGGATATTGCTATATATATGTTCTGTGTCTGATCATTTCCACTGTCTAAAGTTTTTCACTTTTTTTCTGAAACAGGGATGCATAGCTGGAACAATAATCTTGCTTGTGAGCAAGGGCAAAAGTTCCCACATTCTGAGATTTAATGAAGAGTTGTTCTTTATATATCTCTTGCCACCTATAATATTCAATGCTGGGTAATTCAGCTTCCTTATGGCTTATAATAACCCTGTACTAATTTTCTTGTCAGCTTCATATGCAGAAACTTTACAGAAAATTCACTTACTTTGTTTACTGACTATGTCAGATTTCAGGTCAAGAAGAAACAGTTTTTTCGGAACTTCTTAACCATCTTAATGTTTGGCGTGATTGGTGTTTTCATTTCAACCTCCATCATAGCAGTTGGTAAGATTTAATCTGTTCACTGCATATTTTATTGTAGTTTATAGCCAATTCCTCAAAAGATTTCAAACTTTTAATTTTGCATTGTGCTATTATAGATTTATATAGGATCTAAAATGATTCTGCGTGTTACTTTTTGGTTTAGGCTCCTGGTTGCTGTTTCCTAAGTTGGGCTTTGTTGGCCTGAATGCACGAGACTATCTCGGTGAGAACTGAGAATCTTATCAATGAAAGGATTAGCTATTTGTATCATATGAACTTCAATTTTTATGCTATAATATTATAATTTTGTTGATGAATTTCGGTTTACATCAACATTTTGTTTTGAAACAGCTGTAGGAACAATTTTTTCATCAACTGATACAGTGTGTACACTGCAGGTTTGTCATGTTTTAGATGTTCTCTTTCATTTAATTTGGGCCAGCCGCTCCCATATTTGGATGTGCTATGACATTCTATCCAAATGTAGGTTCTTCATCAAGATGAAACTCCTTTACTATACAGCCTAGTCTTTGGGGAAGGAGTGGTGAATGATGCAACATCAGTTGTCCTGTTCAATGCAATTCAAAGATTGATGTTACTAGGCTTAGTGGCGCGAGTGGACTGCGTGTTGTTGGAGATTTTCTGTACCTATTCTTCACAAGCACTGCCCTTGGAATTGCAGTAAGTTTACCATTAAACCCATAATGATGATCTAATATTGCTAAGCAGTATTCAGAATATTATGATCACTTAGCTGGTTTCAAAATTACAGCATTTGTGATAAAGTTTGTTTCTTGTTTTATTTTCAGTTTGGACTTTTGGCAGCATATGCCCTTAAAACCTTATGCTTTGGAAGGTTAGTAACCTATTCACATATCCCTCTGATAAAAGATATCTGTGAATTGCGATAGATGTAGTAAGAAATCTCTTATACTATTTTACAGGCATTCGAGCATCCGTGAGATTTCCTTAATGGTTCTACTGGCTTATCTGTCTTACATGGTGGCTGAGGTAACTAAGTGTACTTAAAATTAAGATTAAAAGTTTATTCAACTTATGTTTTATTTTTCAGAGCTGAATAACTCGCCCGCACTTGAGTATAATCCCACAGATTCTTCTATTCACTGTTCTTGTAATTTGTGCTGAAATGAACTTGGAAGCTGGCTTGTTATTTCAACATATAGCTGAAAACCTCTCTAATTTTAATTGACATGCAGCTGTCAGACCTGAGTGGAATTCTCACCATTTTCTTTTGCGGGATTCTCATGTCACATTATGCATGGCATAATGTCACTGAAAGTTCAAGAATCACAACCAGGCATGTATGGATAGATTAAAGTCCCCATAAAGTCCCAGCTATTTCATCTGACTGCTCTCACCTTCTCATTTTTAGGAATGTATTTGCAATGATGTCATTCATAGCAGAAACATTCATATTTCTTTATGTGGGAATGGATGCTCTTGACATTGAGAAGTGGAAGATAACTACATTAAGGTACTCTTCCTCGTGAAATTCTATACCGTTGTTTTCCATTTCCCTTGATCACCCAACTTGGGTACTTTTGATTGTTTACTGGAGAATGTTTGCTGGTAGTTTGAAATTTTGGCTGCATACTTTGATGTGAAAAAATAAAGAGCGAAATCATTCGTACGGATATTATATATCTGAACTGAAACACTTTTCACTATATATATCTGACTTGCTTGTAGTCAGACACAGAACTAGCAGGTGGCTGGTTGATTCAAGCAAGTCACATTATTCGGTGTCTGATTAAAACTAGAGTACCTTCTAGTGTAAAGGCACATTATTCTGAACTAAAACTAGGAGTACCTTGTTGATTCACAATTGAAGAATAAAGGGAAAAAACACAGAGTTTGATTGAATTGATGGTGCACTTAATAGGCTCTTTTCAAGAATATATGTATCAAGTGAAGCCAATTTATAGATTTTTCTTAAACTTTTTACTCTTGCAGCGTTGGGGATTCACTGGGCATCTATAGTACAATACTTGTATTAATATTGCTCGGACGTGCTGCATTTGTATTCCCTCTCTTAGCAATCTCCAATTACATGAATAGACGAGCTACGGGATCATCTTCACTTTCATTCAAACACCAGGTTAGTATAAGTATACCCAATCTGATAATCTTTTTATGCATCCCCTTAGAGAAGAGCTTGAAATTGATATTTATGTAGGTAATCATATGGTGGGCTGGGCTAATCAGAGGAGCTGTCTCTATTGCTTTGGCTTTTAAACAGGTGTGTATACTCTTTTTTATTACAAGTTGTTGAGTTACTCTAATGAAAATAACCATACTGATTTGTGATGGCTCGGAATGCTTTTGTTGACTCATGAAGTTCACACATTCTGGTGTCACATGGGATCCAGTCAATGCTACGATGATTACTAACACCATAATCGTTGTCCTCTTCAGTACACTGGTATGTAAATCATGTTTCTTCTTGTGATTTCGTTTACAGTTTATATAGTATAGAAAATTTGGAAATTATAACCGTTATCATTCCGTACACACTGGTTTTACCCCCTTATTGAGAATAATGTCAGCAAGCATTAATTCTGTACCTCAAAAAGTTTATAATGGGATCATTTTGATATTAGGTGTTTGGCTTTCTGACAAAGCCGCTTATAAATTATCTGCTTCCTCACGCTGGAACTAGCGCCCTTAACCATAAAGAATCAAAGGACATATCAGAGGACATGAACCTGCCTTTGCTCTCCTTCGACGAATCTGCTGAGACCAATATCAGTCGTGCAAAGGATAATTTGTCCATGTTGATGGAGAGACCTGTACACACCATACATTTTTACTGGAGGAGATTTGATGATGCCTACATGAGACCAATATTTGGAGGGCCACTTGCCAATCAGTCTGCTGCTTGAGTGAATGACTTTACAGCGTCAGTCCATCATAGCAATGCATCCAAAGTACCCAAACGAATCACAAATCCCAGTGCTAGTCGAAGCGGGTAGGTGAACTTTTTGTGCATGAAGATGTTTAATTTTCTAGGACGCCGCAAGTGTTAACTTTTCCCTGTTCGACATTATCCGGCTAACACTTTTCCCTGTTCGACATTATCCAGCTGCTAGCGTTACTTTTGCCTGTTTGACTATCCCGATTAGTGGTTGAACCAAAACTAATCTGGGTTTGGTATTTATTAGAAAGACCAACTAAATGTTACTTGCTACCAGATGGATGTTTTTTATTGAAGGTGCAGCTTCGACTGAAGCAGAACTAAAAGCAACTTCCAAGTACAGAAAAAGTATTCGACTTGAACTGCAAAGCAAGCAGCAATGACGTTTTCGCATTGCCTAATATTATTGTTGGGGTTCCAACAAAAAGAAAATACTGGTACAAACCAATGCATTTAGCAATTACAGAGACGGATTTAACAACACAGGTAAAGGTAACAAATAGATGTTTTCAAAATATACATGGAAAACATTATAAATATTTCAAATCTAGGAAGCACTAGGAAATAGTAAAATCACATAGTTGTTGAAACTGTTGCAGCCTCAAGTGCTTCAAACCACTGCAATGAACCAAAGAGAACAATGGTTAGAAACACACCATACAATCAGAGGCACATTAGTAGTGACTATGCAAAGCTTTGGTATCTTACCATGGCATTCTCGTGGTGTGTTCATGCCACATTTCTTAGGCAACGCCATAGCTAGCGCAGGGTTGATCCCAAACGCAGGGAAGGCAGACTTGTAGTTGCAGAGGCAGGGCAAGTTGGCTTGGTGGACAACGTCACAGCATTTCTTGGTTGGTGGTTTTGGTGAGTTTCCGGTCACTGCCGGGCGACATTCATTCAGCTTGGCGGAGTCAATGTTACATATGGAGACTGCCCTGGCTCCACCCACAAGTGCTATCAAGAAAATCGCCATTACCCATTGCAAGGACCGCACTTCACAAGTACTTCCCATTTTGTTTCTGTTTTATTAACCGATCAAAGACGTTAATTTATAGGAGAGAAATGGGATTTGTTTATAATTTTCTGGCAATATTTGTCATGTGAATGAAGTGGTTAGGAAGGAACCAAGTCACGGGACGCAGATGCCAATTCTTCTAGTATTGAAAGTCAGTCACGGGGTTTTAACCAAAAAATTAAAAAGTCAGTCACGGGAATTTCTATACATTTACACACGACAAAGAGAAATTCTTCTGCAGAGTATAATACTATTCTTTTCCCCAGAAAAAAAGTAAGCAATGAATAAAATTCAGGAACAAATTAAGATAACTTCTCAGAGAATACATTATTAATACACGGATTAAGAAAAGTACATTAGGATTGTTGTACTGAAACTAAGTTCTAGATCTCGATGACACCCTCATTTTCAGGCTCGCTCTCCACATATATAATTCAAAACCAAAACCTGAACGGCACACTGCATACGCAACTCTAAGCTGCATCCCAATGACTAAATAAATACATACATTCATAATTGAAAATAAGTTAGGATCTCCTTACATTTGCCTTTGTTTCCTACTGTCTGCTATTTTACAGGTGTTAGAAACTCCAAAAGCTCTCAGTCTACCCTAACAGCAAGGTCAGACAAACCATGGCGCCATTTGCAAAATAAGACCTGCCATGAACCCTTAGTACATTTTCATACTATTACTACTTACAAACATGAGCTAAAAACATGCCACACAAGTTGTCAAAGTACAAGACATTGAGGCATGTCAATTTCCCCCAACGTTGGCGCACAAGTTATCACGCCATATATCTGCAACTGCAACCAATGACCAGCATTCTGTCAAATCTTGTGGACTAGTATCTAAAGTAACTAAATAAAAGATAAATCCAAAGTACCTACAAACCTATTATCATCTCCTGAATATGTGATGACGTTCCAAAATATCTGGTATTTCCAATGCACTGATGCTTTCACAACCAAAGATCTCTTGAAGCTTTGCATCACATTGTATAGCCATTGGATTTTGAGGATCCTAGATATGTATTTAAACAAGGAGAAAAAACAAGGGTTAATATAGTCAATTGCCACTTCCAGTCCTTTCTCAACTTCTCTGGTCCCAATAAATTACTGGAGGATAGACTGAAAAATAAATTTCTTAATCAGACAGGACAAAAATCAGATTCTTGCACAACCTTCATGCCATTTAGTGTAGGTACGAATTGTTCTCTCTTTAAATGCTGAAACTAAGTTCTACAACATCTTAAATAATCTATTGATAGACTATTAAGTAAAACACTTGAGAAACCCAGCCATCATTTTGATTACCATCCACCATACTTTCACAACACAAACATAAAGCTTGCATAAGATAAAGGCAATTGGAGTGAGAATAATGTAAAGTATACAGTTTAAAAACTCTACAAAACAGTTTTCAATTTCCTTGTGCTAGAAAAACTTCAAGTAATTCGAACAGCCACTGCACCAAATTCAAGCTCAATTGTATTTAATAACACCTCAAGCAAATAAAATAAGTAAATAGATAAAGACAAACCCAGCTGAAGCATAACCCATGTAAACTATAAAAATATAAAGACTCCATAAAAATATCCCGATTTCCATTTGTGCTAGAAAACTTCAAACAGCCACTGCATCCAAATAAATTTGTAACTTATGCACCAGTTACCTACCTCAGTGATTTTAATTATTCATATAGCTATTTATTTATTTTGAAAATGGGGACTGTGGGTCGACTTACCTCCAGATGGTTCACCTTTATGTATTCCCAGATACGCATTAAAACCTCTGATTGGAGCATCTCCCTTACACTAACACCAAAAAAATTTGCAAGTGCTTCAGATATTATTAGAGAAGGACCCGGCTCAGTACTTTTTGTTCCAGACTCCACGGCAACCTTGGGCACCTTGGGCTTCTTGGGAACTGACTGTTCTGAGAGCACCAAAACATCAAATCCTTAGGAAAGTATCAAATTTGACACCCATATCACAAAACACACAGAAAAGTATGTGGTCCCCCACACACAGATAGGGGGAACTGTTACACCAAATACATACTTGATGGTTCAAGTGCAATAATATGTTTAGCAAGCAACTTGTTCATCTTAAACATGTCAGTACAGTCTGTCTCAAAAACCAGTCGGAGCTCCTCATTGCAAATAATTTTCCTCTTGTTACCAGGATCTTGGAGATTGTTTTTCCTTATGTAAGCCCACAGTTGCTTCACAATCTGAACTCAACAGTAAAACAAAAACAAAAACCTAAGTCCTTTGCATACAATAAACTAACTTTTAACAAATAACATTAGTGGATGAGCAAACCTCAGTCCTTGGGAGAGTTGGGTGGCCAACAATGGCCTGAAGTTCAGGTGAAACACCACAAAGTTTGTTTAAACCCCCTGGGCCACCTTTTCTCTTAGCTTTAGGTTTAGCGCTGCAAAAGTATGATAAAATGCACAGAAACATTAGCCCAAGCATCAAACTACTACAATGCACCAAAGTCCTACTACATCTGCACCATGTAAGCATCTTTCCATGTTATTTGCTTGCAACCCAAGACTTAACTGAATACAACTTGATATATGACAGACCAAATATCCTCCGAAAACAAATACACCTTACATACAACATATAAAAGACCAAATGCGTAAAAATAAGAGACCAACGAATTGCTTGCGCTAAAGAATCTACAGCCGTACCCCGCCAAAATCAATGCAATTGAAAACGGCAATTTAAACTGAAACCTAGGGAATTTATCACTCAAGGCCCACTTGAATACTGCACGATCCCTCTCGAGATCCCTCGAGCAGTGCTCCAAACCCTTAAGAGTGGTTAAAATTCAAAAAATCTAAACTGGCTTAAATATCTTTTAACATGTCCAAAATCTGGCTACGTTTCGAAATTTCCCTAAAACCTACCTACCAATGTTAATGGAGAGAGAAAGAGCACTGGAATTTGGTTTCTCGACTTCCCATGCCCCGAAACATAAAGCTTTAGACTTCTACAACGGTTAAAAATGAAATTATCGATTTTCTTTTTGTTGCTCAAATTTTCTCGAAACTCTACCAGATGGCAGGAAAATGAAGGAAATGAACTTAGGAGGACCTTTTTTAATACAACAAACGAAATGTGACTGGACAATTTTCCAATTTCCCTAAACCCTAATTGCCTCGAAAACACAAATTGGCAAGGCGAACACCAATTCCACGGTAAGCTGAAACTTTGCAAAAATAACCAAACACAAGATAACATGCAAAGCCTATCATATTATACCACTTTCCCTTCCCCCAATTTTCTAGGCAACCAAACAGAAATTACCCAAAGAAGAAAGAAAAAAAATAGACCTGTCCTTAGGCGTGTTAGAGCCAGAAACCGATACAGGAGCGGCGGAGCCGGGTTCGGGCTTGAGAAGTGGAGGCGGGGGCTGGGACGAGAAGGTCTGGAAGGCGGAGGGAGTGGGGTGGTGGTAATTAGGGGGCTGGTTGAGGGCAAAATGGTCTTTTGGGTGCTGAGGCTGAGGTAGTTGGTGTTGGTGTTGGTGTTGGTGTTGTTGTTGGTGTTGTTGTTGTTGTTGGTGCTGGGGTTGGGGTTGGGGCTGAGGAGTTGGTGGGTGGGATCGGAAGAAATAGTGGATCTGGGTGCGAATGAAGTCGGTCTTGTGGGAGAGGTCAAGCCCTAGCCTGGACTCTAGCTGCTGGACGACGTCGTTTAGCGTGGTGAAGGTCGGGGTGGTGGTGTTCGGGTTGGAAGTGGTGTCGTGGATTAGGGCTTGTAAGGCTTGCGATATCTCTTGTTCTGTCACCATTCTGATTTCTTCTGCTCTCTCTTTCTCTCTCTCTCTCTATCTCTGCTGAGTGCTGTTGAGAGAGCTTATCTCTTTCTCTCTCTTTGTCAAATGACCGAACTGCCCTCAGGTGGTAACCTGTTGGACATGTTCCTTTCTGCGTCCCACGCTCCTATCACATTGCCCTTGGTTTTGTTTCAATATTTAAATAGCCACGTCAATCTTCAAGTTGAGCCTAAGGTTAGTTTATGATGTTTGGAATGGCAATTTTTCCCTGGGTCTTTGCGACCCTAATGGGTCCCCTAATACATACTATAGGGACGCTATGTTTTATTGCAACCCTTTTTTAGTGAGAAATTATTCTAACGATACACAACTTGGTTTTGGAAAATATGGTACTAATAAGAGTTGTAGCTTTCGTAGACTTTTCTTGCTTTAACATCAATGGAGATTGGTCTCACGACATTCTAAACCCAACTCAACTTGCGTACTACTTGAATCAGCAAAAGAGATTTCATGATAAAGAGGTACCATATCTATGAAGAATAAAATTTGGGTATAGATGCAAATTTGGGGAAATTTTACGAAATGTTTGGCTTAGGATGAGATTGTATTCTAATCTCCAACCTAAACATGTTGTTCGAACCACAATTAACACAATATAGTTTTTACAGTTAATGGGCCAATTTTGTGGTTAATTAACTGAGGCCCAACCGCCAAGAGCCATTTCAACATCTAAAAAGGCCCAATTGATGCTTCTGCTGCCCAGGCCCTTTGGACAGAAGCCAGTCGCAGACATTGACCAACACATGGTCAATCAGCGCTTCAGACAAAAGTGTTCCATGATACAATGCCCAACACAACTGTGCATCACTTCGGACATATTGGTGTCCGAAGCTACAGTAAGTCACTTCGGGCAGAATGGTGTCCAATGTTATAGTTCCATCTCGGACAGAAAGTGTCTGAAGTTACAGTGAAAACCAATTAATGTATTAATAACCAAACTAAAAGAGTTTTAATTACAGCTCGTGGTAAAATCACCAATGCCCATGTCATTCTTAACTAATTTAATTATTTAACAATCAATGTTAACTAATTAAAAAGGCGTGGTAAAATACCCAATAAAGAAACAATAAAGAAATCTAATTGGGTAGGGAATATTCAATCTTTGGCAGATGAAGAATGGTAAAATACCCAAGCTGACCAATTACAGCGCATTCTGCAGATTAATCACAATATTTGAAACTAGAAAGCACCCCCACTGATCAACTTGGAAGACATGTGTGCATTATCTTGTGAATTCTTTATGGTTTGTAATAGCAGCGCCCATTAATCAACCATCCATTTTACTGAAGACCTTGAAGCCTATAAATAGAGGAAGAGAGCTTAGTATTAAGGATCCAACAGCAAATCAATCAAACCTATTTTGAACAACCTTCAAAATACACTTACTCTCGACAACCTCAAAGTAACCCAGACTCAAACACTTGCAAAGCGTCTCACAATAGACCACAACCAAGACTTGAATCGAATCCTTTTTAGTCTCTGAATTCCCAATTGACAACTCCTTATTAGAATTACATTGTTATTGTTTGTAACCTATATGCTCTACTAGCATCGCTCGGGATGATTTGATAGTTGGTCTTGATTTCCTTAAATCAAACTCCTATATGTGGGTCAAACAAGTTCTCACTGCAGATTCTCTGATGGATCTTCATCGGACACTTCCTGCACTCTCAAGTAGATTGCAATTCTGTTCGGTAAGATTTGTTTTTGTCTGATAAGGCTTTTCCTGGCTTTATCGGACCTTACTTTACTTTTATTTAAGTTCATTGTAGTTTCTTTGGACTTGTATTTACTTTCCAACAATTGTACAGTATTCATCGGACACTTTTCATTCAAGATATGTTATTGTAATTTTTGTCCGATGATAGTCTAAAATCAGCATCCATCCTGCTTTTATTCCACATCAAGTGAAATATTGAATTCCTCTTCATTGAGGCATAGAAAGGAACCTATCTAAAGCAATATTCCCCTCTTTAGAGCACAATGGCTTTGGTTAGAGGTTAATATCATAGAGGCGCGATACATTCACAACATTATCACCACTTTATCCCCTCTTTATACTAGAAGAGTGTCACTAGTAGTGGCACGCTTATCGCAATCCACCAGAGAGCAGATTTTGAGCCTACTTCCGAGCTTAGATCTCTCTCATTTCACTTCCTTCACCAACAAGTAACCGCTAGTTGCCAAAGTATAGCATGCTAAAGGCCAGGGGCATCATAGTGTTCAAAATACAACAAACATATTTTTGGCCAAGTGAGACCATTTGTATGGTTAATAAAACTCACAAGAAAATCTATTTGGGATAAACTTCTCCTACTTCAATGGATCGTCCTCATGACAGCAATGTTGACGTTGTGGAAATTGAAGATGAGGATACTCAAACGATGCAACCTGAACTAACTCTAATGGAACAACTAATTATCAAATGTTAGAGAAAATGGACAATAACACCAAGGCTATCTAGAGTCTACAGAAAGATTGTGTTCATGCAATAGCTTCCTCAATCCAAGTAAAAAGCAACCCAAAGAGGACCAACCTGACCTCATAACCTTTTGGAATGCCTGTGGGAACGTTAACTTGGTGTCAGGGCCATACTAGTGGCCTAGGAGCTCTCTATCCAAGTCTTTATCTTTTATCTATTCCAAATACTGGACCAATCTAAGATCTAAATGTGCCGGAAAACACAGAAGCTGTTGTTCAGCCAAACAATGGCAAGGACAAACAAAAAGTGTCCAAATGAGTAACACAAAATGTGGTTCATACGAAATACCAGCCTCCAAAATAGGTAGCTGCTTTTCCTCCTCTAGAAACCGTGAGAAATGGACAAGGGGCAAAGGGAAAGGGAAATGGAAACAGACAATTCAAACCAATAATAACTCCAATCATGCCAGTAATGGTAACTATGACAGGGATGGTATAACTGAAGAACAAAGCCCATCTGCTCCTGTGAATCTACTTGAGGATTCTAAAGAGGAGATGGAAGAAAGAATTCCTCGTATGGGACATGCTAATCTCATCATACCGAATAATGATGACTGACATATGGTTATGCAGAATGAAGTGGCTAAACTAAGGCAAATGGTTTTAAATGGGCAAGAATGGTGTTTGAAGACCAGCTAGGCTTACTTATCAGAAGCCATATGCTGCTCACATTGATGATGTCAAGTTTCCAAGAGGATTCAAGGTACCATCTTTCACTTTGTTTAATGGGGATGACTTGTATGCATCTGCTTTTGAACATGTAGGGTGCTTTTCTGCCCAATGTGTGTCTATTGAATTAGATCCTTGACTTAAACTAAGGTTATTTGGTAACTCCTTATCTGATCAAGCATTCACTTGGTATTCCAATTTGGCCCCTAACTCTATCAAAACTTGGGATCATATGAAATCCAGTTTTTATGACCAATATTACAGATTTAGCATTGGTTAAAGGTTAAGATCACATGAGCGCAATACATTCACAACATTATCACCACTTTATCCCTTCTTTCTACTAGAAGAGTATCACTAGTAATGGCACGCCTATTGCAATCCACCATAGAGCAATTTTTTAGCCTACTTTAGGGTTTGGATATCTCTCATTTCACTTTTTTCACCAACAAGTAACCGCTAATTGCCAAAGTACAACCTGCTAGTGCCCAAGGGCATCACATTGTTCAAAACACGACTAACACATGCCCTCTTTAAAATATATATTATTTATTTTTCATATGAATATATTGTTATGTCCCTTCTAGCTCTATTCCATGACTGTCACCAAATTTTATATTCATCATAGTATATTATATATTGAATTTAATAATACATATCAAATGTAAAAATAAAAAGAAACGTTTTTAATTTATGTTGCCCTAGTATAATAGTTCTAACTCTTTTTTTTTTTTTTTTTTTTTTTTTTTTTTTTTTTTTTTTTTTTTTTTCTCATTTAATTATTATATATTTTTATTTTATTTTTTATTTTTAATGGGGGAATGCATTCCCTAACAAAGGTGGGAATAGAGAATCCCAATATAAATATTACGAGTATGAAGGTGGGGGTGAGGATGGGAACGACATACTCATCCCTATTTATTCGCCTCATTGCCATCCATATGACATAAGACTTCAATTGACAAGACCCGCCCTGAATTCTTCGAAACCCAAGGCGAATCCTGTGGAAATGCCAGATATCACACCGATGTCGGGCCCATTCACTAAAACCATAACCTTCTTTTCCAAAGAGGAATGAGGGCACGAGACTTTCTATCGAAATTTCAACAAAATCTCCCCTGAAAATTGATCATTTCCCAAATTTCAACATGCATAAAACACATATAAAGAATTATGATTTTAGTGAGTGGGCCCGACATCGGTGTGATGTCGGGCATTTCCACAGGATTCGCCTCGGGTTTTGAAAAATTCGGGGCGGGTCCTGTCATCAATATATAGTCTCTCAATTTATTTTTTTTAATTCTTTTCAACTCGACCACACCTCACACATTTAGTAATTTACAAAATCATTGAAAATAAGGTTGGGGATCGAAGATTGGGGGAAGGGGATTGAGTAGGAGAGATTGAGATGGGCAGGAAATGGTGATGGGTATCGTGGTTAGGGTGGGGGTGGTTGGGAGATTAGAGACATTTGTTTAATTAATAAGCTTGTACTACTACTTGTGGTGAGTGAGAGTAGACAATCTTTTTGTGTTTAATGGAGGGAGAGATGAGTGCCTTGTTTTGGTGGGTGTGAAGAGTGGATTGATAGTGTTGGATGTAGATAGTATAGTGCGAGTAGTTTTTTGGGCTTTTTTGGTCAAGGGTCGTCCATGCTTAATTTAGTATAATTTGGGACAATATGGTGGGTAATATTCGGCTTTTTGAATTGGAGGAATTGACACATATTTGTGTTTGGTGATTCTTCATGAGATTAATGAAGAACATGATAGTATTTCAATGTTTGGTGTTTGCTTTGGTTAGAAAGTTTTTCTGGTTTGCAAAATGCTTGAATTTTGCTCTTTTTCTTAAGCCCATTTGTCTATAATGAGAGCCTAATATTTATAAGCAAAGAATTAGGTATTTGTTTGGAATTCCCAATTTAAATCCCTAAATTTGTGGGGTTGAGCTCTAATTTTATTTAAATTAGGGCATATTAGTTTGATTTAATTTAGCTCTTAAAATAAATCAAACTTCTTGATCTAGGGATTGAACCCTTAATTCATAGGATTTAGCCAATCACGTATAATTTCCACATTTTAATTTTTTGACTTTTATTTGTTTAATGCAACTCTTTATAGGCTAACATGTGTCATCTTCAATGGCTCGTTTTGTTTTGGTGAGTCAAGAGTCATCGTTGATTAGTTAAATGGTCAAACTTTGAATTATTGACCACTAAAATTTTGATGTCTATTAGCGAATTGACATGGAGAATATGACCCTAGTCTTAAGGGGCACTACATAAATTAAAATTTGTTTTTTATTTGTTTTTGTCCACGTGACATATATTTGGCATTCACACCATTTGCCGCATCATCATTTAACAGCCAAATTGGCGGATTGTGAAATAGAAGTTTAACATTGTACCAATTTCACAATATCAGGTTTGGCATTGCGACATTATAAAGTCGAGATATTAAATTGCCAAATTTGACGAACTTGGAGTTAGAATACAATCAATGCAAAAATATATCCATATACATTTATGTTATTGTCATTTCAATTAGGAAAAAGAAATGCACAACGCAGTGGGATGTCGTGGCTGCACATGGTAGAATATGGGAATGATGCAGTGGTATCGGTTGGGTGGTAGCTGATTACTTAATTGAGGGGATGAACGTGTAATCAATCTTGCTCCAATTCCAATTCTTTATTTTTTTGTTTTTTTTTTTTTTTTTTTTTTCAGATATTTTACAATATTCCAATTGATATTAATTTCAGAGTTAATTTTGATTTTGGGTAATATTGGTTGCTCATCATTTTAATCCAATACATATATTCACTATCATTTTCAACATTTGATACGTGTCAATTGGTATAACTATAATTAACTCTTTGCTTTGTATTTATAGAACCACGATTATGCTTATTGATACGTATAGTACAGCTTGGGTTAAAGTGGTAAGCAAAATGATGGCGGCGGATCTTCTGTTTAATAATTTTTCCTTTAAAAAAAAAACTAGACTCATTGATTTTCTTTTCTTCTAAATCAAGAAATTGACCGGCCAATCCGACTCTCTCCTCTAACCAAATCAAAACACCATCTCACAAAAGATATTACAAAATTAGCCAACTCAGCCTCATCGAATTGATTGGATGGTTTTCCAAATCGAACGGTCTACAATGGAGTTCCTATAGCAAGAAAGAAAACTTTGGATCACTTTTTTCTGGTCCAAATTTTATATATTTATTTATTTTCTCATTGGATTACAACTTACTCAAGGAGGGCCAGACCAAATCTTTGGTAGAAAGTTGACATGCAAAAATGGTGGGCCCTGATTTTATTAATGAAATCATATATTCGATTATACTAAAATACCATGTAGACCTACTTTTGATGTAAACTTTGGACCACCCTCTACCGATACCGATTTATTCCTTGTCCCCGACCTTAAGAAATGCCGACTAAGGATAAAAATAAAGCAAAGATCATGACAGGTTAAGCAATAGTAACCAAGCCAGCTGCGTTTACTACCTTCTTAATTAACTCTTCCTGCTGCCCCATTTCATCATCCTGAATTACTTTTGTATTTTTATGACCAATATGCCCCATTAACATTTGAAAATACCAATTACATCCGAACATTAATTACGTTTTTCAAATTCGTTTAATCACAAATCAAATATGGAAAATGAAATCAAATGATACTTCTCGATGATTTTTCTAACATTATCAAACATAGAAATAGGTATCGAATTCATCACTAATATATATCGTCTTCGTCATTCATGTGAGTCGAATATGAGACGTCCTCTAACTAAGTGGAGATAATGGATGAAAGGCTGGTTAGTGCTATTGCATTCATGTCTCAAACTATATAATTTAGCCTTCAATTATTTAAAAGACTTGATTCTCAACAACACATGACATATCATGTTGAATAAAACAAAATATCAATACCAAAATAATCTTTTTAAGAATCCTTATCAACCCAACAACGTGCCTAGGATCTCGTTCCTAAAGTGACTGTAAAATTTGTCTTCTAACAACACAACTTGATCTTCAAAAATGACATGTTTTTGTATCACGAGGACACATGTATCAACTATGTCATCAAAAATTATTAAGAGGAAAAAAAACATCAAAATATTTTGAAACCACAAAAAAGGAAAAAAAATCAAAAGATAAACATAGAAAACAGCGAGAGAGAGAGAGCCCGATTGTCCAAGACGAAACAAAATTGGTTTTAGAAGAAACCAAACCGGTGCACACTTAGCCAATGCGTTGTACAACAGAAAGAGCGAGTCCACCAAACCACAACATATATGCGCGCGTACACAAACCGCTGTGTTTTGGGTCTTTCAGAGACAGTAAGCTCTCGGCTGTCTTCGTGTGGTCTTAGCGGGTACTCTACCAGACACCGTTTCTTTCTCACTTTGCTCTCCCACGAAGAAAAATCGATCCCGTTTCTCTCTCTAAAACTCATCTCGCTCTCTTTTTCTTTCTGCATTATGTGTTATGGTTCCTGGACACCGGAACTTTGAAGAGGGAACTGATTCATTTTGGCATTAATTTCACTGCATGTTCTTGATTTTCTAGAGGTATGCACTTCTGGGTTGCCTTAGATTTCACGCTTTCTTTATTGGGTTTTGATTCATTTGTGAACTTTATTCATGATAAAGTTGTTTGAAGTATGAAAGCACACGCAAGATGTATTGTTCTTTGATATTTACTGCTGTAAACTTCTGGGTTTTGTTCACTTCTGCGTTTTCTTAGTTGGGTTTGATTCATAAATCCTTATTTTTCTGTATTTTCTTTTTCTTCACGGTTACCATAACTGAGTATAAACACACACAACATACTCCTTGACATTTCACTTGTTGTTTTTTTTGCTGTTGCATTTATATTTGGTGCTTCATATGCATATCATCTATCTCTGATTTGTTTCCAGTTTTCTATTGAATTATATCTCAAAGTACCAATCTTTGAAAGAAGAAACTCATCCATTACAACTTGAATCTTGCTTTCTTTCGCTCTTTTTTGTGAATTTCCATAAGTTTGCATATCCAGGAACCATTGAAGTTTCTTTTGCTATAATTTGGTCCAATCATATCCCATATTGTTGTTAAGATATCAGTGATGATCTTGTTATTCCCCTTGATTTTTCAAATAAATTTATGCTTTAATTTAGCATCTTCTTCCTTCATGATATATAGGGGACAGAGTAGGAGGGGTTGGTGATTTATAGGAACACTAACAACCACTAGGCTGCTTGGTTGGTTTATGTCTATGTATATGGTTTGATGTGTTTCTGATTTTGGAATTGGTTGTTGACTCCTGAATGGTTGCTTAACAAATTCATGGTGGGTTTTTGTCCAGCTGTGGAATCTAAGGGGACTTGAACAATTGGGTAATTCGTTTTCATCTCCACTCGGCAATTGGTGGAGATGTCAAGTTACGGGGGTGTTATCATTTCCGATCAATGGCTTCAAAGCCAGTTCACGCAGGTTGAGCTACGCAGTCTGATCTCCAAAGTATGTATATTTGTTCCTTAGCCAGTTTTTCTTTGAAGTTTGGAAGGTTTATCTGAACTTTTTATCATATAATATATAACAATGTTATAGGTTTGCTCTAATCTGTGGTTTTGAGTTAATTGTTAACTCTTGTGGTTTTCAGTTTAATTCAGTGAAGAATCAGAATGGTAAAGTTATGGCTGGAGATCTACCACCTTTAATGGTGAAATTAAAGGCTTTTAGAGATATGTATTCCGAGGAGGACATTAGGGGTACCTTAAGTGGGCTGGGTTCTAACTTCAGTGATGAGATTGATTTTGAATCCTTCCTTAAGGTAAGCCATATTGTGTGTTAGTTTTCTTCTTCTTCTTCTTCTTCTTCTTCTTCTTCTTCTTCTTCTCCCTCTCTCTCTCTCTCTCTCTCTCTCTCTCTCTCTCTGACACAGGCACACTCTCACTCTCACTCTCAAGTTAATTGATGAATTAATTATAGTGTCTTGCAAAGTACCATGATGAAGGGCACTGGCATAATGAAATGGCTTGCCCCAAGCAGGCTGGTCATTGTGGGTCCAAATTGCAGAAACAGCCTTTCTGGGTGCAGGGGAAGGGCTGCCTAAAGGGGTCTTCTTTTTATGTATTTTTTATTTATAAAGGGCCAATTTAATTGCTACAAAGGGTGTCCCAGCCCACCCTTCTTAATTGAAAGAAGTCTCACATTAGAAGCACTATTTTTAAGAATTTTATTTTCATTGTTCTGGAGTCAGGAGTATGGGATGTTGCATTTAAGTGGGCATTTATAGGAGGTAACATTTTAGTTTGATGAATAAAATGCACAGGCATACTTGAATTTGCAAGGTCAAACTACAGCTAAATTGGGTGGTTCAAAAAACTCTTCATCGTTCCTGAAGGCCACCACAACCACCCTCCTTCACACAATCAGTGAATCAGAAAGAGCATCTTATGTGGCTCACATAAACAGTTATCTTGGGGATGATCCGTTCCTAAAGCAGTATCTCCCATTAGACCCAGCTACAAATGATCTATTCAACCTTGCAAAAGATGGAGTTCTCCTATGGTATTGAAGCAGGGTTTGGTTGATTATTTTCTGTCCAGTTTTGTCAATTAAAGCTGTTATTTTATTGTTTTGTTGATTCGTCTAATGGATCAAATGCAGTAAGCTTATAAATGTTGCTGTGCCTGGGACAATAGATGAACGAGCAATTAACACCAAACGGGTCCTCAACCCATGGGAGAGGAATGAAAACCATACTCTTTGCCTTAACTCTGCCAAGGCCATTGGCTGCACAGTGGTTAACATAGGCACACAGGACCTTATTGAAGGAAGAGTACGTTTTTTCGATTGAGAAATAAGTGAGTTTAATATACATTTGGGTACTGGGAAATTCATGTTTTGGTTATTTATTTGCAGCCTCATCTGGTATTGGGGTTGATTTCCCAAATTATAAAGGTAGGCAGCTAAAGTTTAATTATTCACTCTATCGTAACCTCAGATAAAGTTTACTTGCAATAGCGATTGATATAAATCTCTCTTTCCCCTTTTTCCTTGCATGAAATTAATGTGCCAAGTTCAGATCCAACTGTTGGCAGATCTCAACCTTAAGAAGACGCCTCAACTTGTGGAATTGGTGGAGGATAGCAATGTATTGTAATTTATAAATTTTTTCTGTGTTCTCATATTCCAAAAACTTTTTAGTAAAAAATTTCTTGTTAAAGACTTCTTTTCTCACAGGATGTTGAAGAGCTTTTGAGTTTACCCCCTGAGAAGGTCTTATTGAAATGGATGAATTTCCATCTCCAGAAAGCAGGCTACAAGAAACCTGTTTCAAACTTTTCCTCTGATGTGAAGGTATTTTGCCATATCTATAGTACTGTATATCTAGGGGCATGTAGCACAATAGCAGTGTCATTATGACTTGCCAGGGAGTAGCGGTATCTATAAATGAATTGTAATTAGGATTTTTTTTGGGGGAGAGGGGGAGGGGAAGCTGAGAGTGCAATTCTTGATATGATCGCCATTCTTGGCCAAAACATATGAGCTTAGAGGTGATCTGATAGATTTATAGAACAGGTAATGTAACTTAGAATAAATTATTCCACCATAGAGTATAGTGTAAAAGACTAGAGTTGGTTTAACGAGACTGTTTCGGGTAATATTCGCAAGCGATATCCTTAAATATTATACTTTCCTCGCTTATCTCCTTCATTTAATCAGAAGTTGCAGCTCTCTAAGCCACTGGATTATTATTGGTTTCTCATGAATTAAATTGACCTATAACCCACTGATTATTTATGTCATAATTTGTAATGGATGCACAGGATGGAGAAGCTTATGCTTACCTACTTAATGTTCTTGCTCCGGAACACTGCAATCCTGCCACTTTGGATGCCAAACCCAATGAAAGGGCAAAATTGGTTCTTGACCATGCTGAGAGAATGAACTGCAAAAGATACTTATCCCCAAAAGACATTCTTGAGGGTTCTTCAAACTTAAATCTGGCATTTGTGGCACAAATATTCCATGAAAGGTGGGACGTGAACTATGACAACTTTTTTTAGTCAGAAGATAACTTTGTGTTTTATTTGTTTTTTGTTTGACAAAGCACGTATTATGTGGGATGAATTTAACTAGGTAGAGAAATTCGAGAATAAGCTTACCATCTGATCCTGCATATGATATGTTGTCAAAAGAATGTGATGAAATCATTTCCTCATATAGCCTAATGTTTTTTGTCTTTATTTTATTTATAAAAGTATTATATATACTACATGCTAGACAGTCTATTATGCAGTTAGATTGTCAGTGAATACGGTTGGTCAGGCCAAACTCTCTCACAAGCGAGCATGATTCTCTCTCTGTCTCTCTCTGTCTCTATGTGTGGATGTGGTTGATGTCTTGATTTGTAACCGAATTATTTAAGTTTGTTTAACTATTTGGTAATTAAGAGTATACCTTGTGCAGGAATGGCCTCACTACAGATAGCAAGAAGATTTCTTTTGCCGAGATGATGACAGATGATGTGCAAACATCAAGAGAAGAGAGATGCTTCCGTCTGTGGATCAACAGTCTAGGCATTGCTACTTATGTTAATAATGTATTTGAGGATGTGAGAAATGGGTGAGTGTTCGTAATTTAAGCAAGAGTCATTAATGTACCAAAAAATCATCCATATTTTAACAAGTTGTCGATTATGAAATTATAAGTCAAACCCCGCGTAACAAGTCATTTGCTAAATTGCATTAAGTTTATTTGACAAAAATAAATGTATCACTTTTTCCTAACATACATAGTACTTTTAATTCTATGATTTTGGCATTCACAAGCTTCTTATTTATGGGTTTGATTTTCTTGATTTTCATAATTCTTGTATCCAGATGGATACTCTTAGAAGTGCTTGATAAGGTTTCTCCAGGATCGGTTAACTGGAAGCAAGCATCAAAACCTCCAATTAAGATGCCGTTTAGAAAAGTAGAGAATTGCAATCAAGTTGTAAAGATTGGGAAGCAATTGAAATTTTCGCTGGTGAATGTAGCTGGAAATGATATTGTGCAGGGAAATAAGAAGCTTATACTTGGTAATTAATTTTCAGAGTGTTTATGAATATTTGTGTGCACACCTTCCTAATCCCTTAGGTTTTGAGCTTAATTGATCTACTGCAGCAACTTATTATGTACTAAATCTAATTGTTTGCATGCTCACTCTTTTTTTCATTACTGGCTTTAATTATCTTCTATTGATTTCACTCACTAAATCAGTTTCATTTTGAGTTCTGCAAGGTATATATGCTTGATTGAGTACATAAATTTGCTTTCAGAGGGCAACTTATTTTTTAGTCTGACGTAACCTTAAACTTCTTTTCTCTCTTCTCAAGAATAAGATGCTGTCTAGTTTTTTGCTACTCCCAGTTAAATTAAAATTTTTTTTCTCTCTTTTCCTAAAATGGATTACTTTTCATCTGTGATTCCTGAGAATTTGTTGTTAAATGCTAAAGTTTGTTTGATTTTTTTTTTTTCCAGCTTTCCTATGGCAGTTGATGAGGTTTAATATTCTTCAACTTTTGAGGAATCTAAGATCTCACTCTCAAGGAAAGGAGATGACAGATGCTGATATTTTAAATTGGGCTAACAACAAAGTCAAAAGCACTGGCAGGACTTCTCGAATGGAGAGTTTTAAGGTTCAAACAGACTAAACCTGTTTTCATCTCACATTATAGATGCAATCATAATCCTAAACATGATTATATGTGGTATTCTGAAACCTGGGATTTCTCTCCAGGATAAGAGCCTATCAAATGGGATTTTCTTCCTTGAGCTTCTCAGTGCTGTAGAGCCTAGGGTTGTCAACTGGAACCTTGTTACTAAGGGTGAAAGTGGTAAGATTCTTTTTGCAATGTTTTCATTTACAATTGAGCAGGAAAAGGACTTTGACCGAATTAATTTTGAGTAGAGTACTGATGAGAGAAGTGGGTTTCTGTTCTTGTTGCAATGATAGCTGAAGAAAAGAAGTTGAATGCTACTTACATAGTCAGTGTTGCACGAAAGCTTGGTTGCTCCATTTTCTTGTTGCCTGAGGACATCATGGAGGTAAAGAGTAAATCCAACTGCAATTTATTTATTTTTTTGTATAGGGTCATCGATCTCATTTCATGCGTGGGGACTAAGTAGTGACATTTTAAATTCATGTTCGTCCATATCATTTAATGCTTAGAGACTTAAGTAGTGACATTTTGATATCATGACTTTGGTGGCCTACATGATTTATGGGAATGATATTGTCACACTGTTGGGCGGGAAATATATAATGAAATTACTTGCATTTTGGCTTTCTTGAAGATTGTGAAGATCTTTTTATCCGGGGATTGCCTATATGCAAAATTTATTTATTTACTAAAATACAGAAACACACATCCACACTTGAAATTTACAAACACACTGAAAGTTGTGCACAATTTTGGAGCAGTACGCAGTAAGTTTTTTTTTTGCCAAAGGAGCAGTAAGTAGTATTGGGTTCTATTAACTTCATGACCTTCACAATTTCAGTAAGTCTTTTTATTTTTGTCAAAACAATTTCAATAAGCCGATTTGTGATGTTATGGCAGGTGAACCAGAAGATGCTTCTGACCCTAACAGCCAGCATTATGTTTTGGAGCCTGCAACAAGCAGTTGATGACACAGAAAGATCACTGTCCCCTGTTGATGCGTCACCGGCAACATCTATCAATGGAGAGGATGAAAGCTCCTCTTCCCTTGGTGGTGAAATTTCAAACTTAAGCATTGATGACACTGCATCTGACACTACAGTCACTTCCCAGTTTGAGAATGAGGGCAGCACTGCCAGCACTCTCAGTACTCCTTTGGGAGACAGGATCAGGACGGAAGAGAAAGGGTGCATAGCTGTTCAGTAGGTTCAAGCAAAAGCGTATATATACTCGAAGCTCCATAAAAATATGGTTGGTTGTAAACAGATTTAGAATCACAGGTTGAGAAGAAAAGAGACAACTTTGTAAGTATTTCGAATTTGTAGATATTGAGAGACTTTCCTTTTTGACAGTAATTATATCAGTCAAAGATGAAATAATTGACAAATGTTTGGTAATGGGTGTGGTAGTAGTAGTGCGAAAGAAAAGAACACTTTTTTCCAAGAGCTGAAAAGAAAAGGAAATTGCATTAATTAAGAAAGGGAACCCAAGGAAGTAACTTTACACCAGAAGGGCCCTGTTCTTGTCCCAATTTGGAAGGATGATAGGAACTTTGGTTTTGGGGTTCAGCTCTTACGTATCAATAAAAAGCTTATATTGGAGGATGAATTATGTCCAGTCTTAAGAGCTTATGCCGAGGGATAAATTATGGTCAGGCTACTAACTGATTAAGTACTCAACTTGTATTTTCAATCAAACACTCCAAAGTACGAAATATAAGATTTTCCTAATCAAATGAGTAACTTTATTTCCATTATTTAAAGTTATATAATTACCATTTTAACCTTTTAAATTACCTAAACGAGTAGGTACAAAATTTAAGGGTTAATTTTTCAAGCACCACTTTGAGGGTTTTTTTTTCCCTTCATTTTGTTGATGTAGCAATTCTCATCCATGAGGTCCGGTCTCAAAACTTTCTCCAACAAAATAGAGATTACGTACCACTAGACCAAATGATCATTGATCACCATTTTTAAACTTTGAATTTATCGAATCCAAGGTTGACCTTGAGATGGTGTAAGTGGTGCCCACATGACCCCAAATTTTCCCTGATACTATAGATGTGGGAGCAAATAATCCGGCTTCCAATCATAAGGCCCCACGTGGACAAGAAGAATATCTCCTAAGTCCATTAATTGAGCTCATTTATTTGGAAAATTAATTGATACTAAAAATAGGGATATTATCTTTATTTAAAAAGATAATATCACTAATTAAAATATTATCCTAATTTGAAGATATCATTATCAATAAGTGAATTGATCCACTCAAATCCCTAATTGACTCAATCTCTACAATTTGGGGAAAGAATATCTTCCTTCCAAATAAGAAGATATTCTTTGAAAAACCTAAGATGCCTAGAGCTCTATAAGTACATGGCTTCATTCAACACACCAGGTAATTCTAAATCCAATTTCAACCTGAAAAACCCTACTCTCTCTCTCTCTCTCTCTCTCTCCTCTCTCTCTCTCTCTCTCTCTCTCTCCTCTCTCTCTCTCTCTCTCTCTCTCTCTCTCTCTCTCTCTCCATGTTTTCCTATCACGGCTCCGGCCACCACACACAACTCCGACCACCCGGTTCTCCCCATAGAGAAAACTATGTACTCTTTTTTAGCTATTGTTTCTCCTAGATACAATCGAACTAACTTAGGTATCGGAGGGCCTTGGGCAACACCTCCGGGTGTGTTCTTTTACTCCTGTTTGATTTTATAGGAATCGGGGAAGAGAGAGAAAGAAGTCTAGAGGGCGAAGGATCTTCAAGTGGATACTCTCCCGTGAGAATATTTGCACAAACAATAGCCTATATTTTCCACAATAAACCATATACAGTATGACTGTATGACGAATGCTTTGTCGGTGGCAAGAGGAATTACCCCAAAAAGAGAAAAGAACGTATGTTAGTAGCTATACCTAGCAATGGGTTGTGTTTTTGTAAGGGGTTCATGTCATGTGAAAATTAGCTTAACTTGAACATGGCTCACCTGCGGGTGTGGCTCGAAATGAACCGTGTTCATTTTCGACACCTCATGGAAAAAAAAACCCCAACACTTGCTTCTAGAGGCCTCTTCTTTCTCTGGTAAAATAACATGAGAAAATGAACACACGAACATGACCAGCAAAAATAACATGTTGTACAACTCGGTTCATCCATTAAAACTATTACCTTGTTTCAATTGTTACTCATCCATTTTCACATGTTTAAAAAAATATAAATAAAAATAATTGAAAAAACAAATGAATAAATCACTAAAGTAAAACATCTTACGATTCACAGCTAATTTATGAAAAACTTCAATCTTGAGGGAATGGAATGAGTAATTACAAGATAATACAATGGATGATTAATGAGCATATATAAGGTTTTTGGGTCAAATGGTCCTTGAACTTTAACCCGATTCGCATTTTAACCATTCAATTTTCAAAATAATTACGATGGTCATTAAAGTTCACTTTCGATAGCAAGAATAGTTCTTCCATTTGTTTTGTTAGCTATTTATGTCAATTTTGAGCATGTGCATAACATGTGGTGGGCAAAAACATAAATTACTTGGCTCATGATATATGTGGAGCAATTCCTCCTTCTCCAACCAACCACAACCTACCCCAACCCCTGCAATTACTCAAAACACCCACCAAACTCGCCAGCCAACACCCAACCTGAGCCACTCTAGCACTCTCTTCCCCGACCAACCACAACCCACCCCATCCCCAGCAATTACCCAACCCGCCCAACCCCTCTCTCTCTATCTCTCTCTTTCTCCCTAACCCCCCATACCACAACCCACAACCCACCTCGCCCAAAGTTTGATCTGAGTGCCCATAATGGAAGAAGCTTTGAAGGCCAGCATAGGAGGGGGTCTGATGCCGCTTTTACTCATTCCAAATGAGAAAACACCTTATGAAGAAGAAGTGATTGTGGTGTATTCAATTGAGATTTTAAAAGATTATTTTGGGATAGATAATTCTTGTGGTATTCAATTAAGACTTTTAAATAATCTAAACAAGTGTATTCCATTAAGACTATTATGATTTTTTAAAGAGAATGTCAAAATCTTGTGGTATTCAATTAAGACTTTAAACAAGTAACAAAAAGTTTTATGGTATTCAAAAACTTGTTAATTTAGAAGGATTTTTTCAAATGCGAAATTGTGTGAGACTTTTTAGTGAGATGTATGCATATCAAACCCTATCAGAAATCCCACCCTAACCTTCTTTTTTTCTTTTTTCGTGAGATTATTTTTGTGCAATATAATTTTTTTTTTTTTTTCTTTCGTCTTCAAAGCCTTTCCATTTTCTTGCCCAACTTCCTGACTCTTACAAAATGGAGTGACTCACTTGCATTTCAAGTTCAGTTTTCTTCTCCATTCACTTTTTCTCTGCATTTCTGAATCTTGGTTTTGGTTATTATAGTATGTTTTGGAGATTGGTGTTGAAATTCTTGTGGTTTGTGGAGTGCATTGGGGTTTGTTGTTGTTGTTGTAGTTGATGGTTATAGGGAGTGGCTATGGAGGGAGGGTGGAGATGGAGGCTATGCATTTTCTTTATCATCAATTCTCCCTTACTCAAGGATTTACCCATTTTGTTCAAATTTTGAACTATCGTGTATGAATTTTGCAAATCAACTGAACTAGAGAACTTCCTCTTAGGCCCTCTACTTTCCTTTGATTCCTAGCAAGGAAAAGAAATGGCATATAGCTTCCAACTTATTAATTGAGGATTAACTCCAAACAATACCATACTTTGAAAAAGAAGGTGGTAGGGGATAGAAGAGAAAATACTACCACAAAAAAAAACATAGGGCAGAAACTCCACTTGCATAGAACCACATGATATTTCATAACAGTAACATTTAATAGGGTAACACATTGTGCAGTATGCCAACGTTAAGATGGTAAAACCAGCAGCCTCCCATGTTCTGGGTTCGCTATATTTGTTGGGCTAGGTATTTAAAAAAGTTTCAAATTTTAGTTTGGGCTATAGCCCTATTTAGTCATACCTAGATATAAATCCATGTGGTCCATTAAAATCTTATAAAATCTTATGATATAATCTTTAAAATTCAAAAGTTAAAAGTCTTGATTATACAAAATTATCAATAAAATCCTATAAGTCATTACATTCTAATTAAATCTGTTGGATTTTTTAATCCTTAAATAGTCTTTTAAAATCTTAATTGAATACACATGGCTGGTTTCAGTAGGGGGAAAATAAAGCAACACAAAAAGACACATTTATCCTTAAATTGAACCAAAAAAAATTGACAGAAGAGATAGCAGGACGATTCTTGCTAACGAAAGTGAAGTTAATGATCTTGAAAAATAAAAAATCAAATGCGAATTGTGCCAAAATTCAAGGACTATTGGACCTAAAAATCCAGCCGGTATATTCTCAACAAATAGCTTGTATGTGGCCCGAACACCGAATTTAAGAGGTGGTGTACAAGAAAATATAATAAATTTAGGTTTTAGTCACAAAAAAAACTTTCATTTTTGGAAAAAGCCAAATTATTTTCCAAAAAGACAGAAAAATCCCTCAACTTTCAAATTAAAGACATGCAAATGTAAAGGATTCTTTAGGAAATTCAAAAATAATAAGGACATTTTTATCTATTTTAACTTAAAAAAAAATATTTCTCTCTCCTCTAGCCTTTTTTAAAATGTCCCGTACAATATTGCGTAGTCCCCACTATTCACTCTTCTAGAAAGCATTATGTACCTACAGAGCACGTCACAAAATGCGCAATGGAGAATAAATGCATACTCTTTTTATTCCTGAAACGCGCCCGCAACTTATGAACAAAAATTTCAGAGCAAATATAAAGGAGGCAAAAAGGACATAACCCGAAACTGGAGACTCAAGAGTCTGACTGGGACTGCGTCTCTTCCAATCCTTTGCCTGCTCACAAAACGATTCGTCATCTCACAAAACATTGCTTCATACCTTTATTTGCCTTTTCTCTCGTCTTTTACACTTTGATTTATTTTTCTTCGGAAATCCTTCCCATTTTAGTCTCGAGTTTGCAAAAACATGTGTTTTGTTGTTGTTGGGTTCTGAGAAAACGGAGGAATACAGCTTTTTTCACCATTGAGGCACGATTGAGAGTGGAAGGTACAAATCTGCTAGTTCCCTTTTCTTCTTTTTCCTCTCGAAAGCCAAACGAGGGATTACACATTGTTATGTTGTCATTGTGCTCTCATTGTTATTCTT